GTTTACTTTCTAAATAAAAAAACTAACATATTTTCTTGTTTCAAGAAATAGAAAAGTTAAGGAGATACGAAATATGTGCAAGAATCAAGTAACTATTAGACAATGTTGATTCACAAGGAGGTAAACCATTCATATTTAAAGGTATCTAATTGTATCTCTTAGGTGCATGTGAATTCAATTGATAAAAATAAACTAAACTAGAAATATACCAAATGTTATTTCATTAAATATAATGTTAATGAGTGTGGTTATGGCTATTGGGATGATTAAAGAAAAAAACATAGTATCTAAAAATATTATTTTCAATGAATCTATTTTATATAAAGATGGGCTCAGCCTTTACAAGTGAAATGATTAAGCTAGACAAAATTTTTATGGATACGGTGCAGGAGACAGATTGGCTAAACGACTCTCAAATTAGTAAGATATAGCAGGAGACAAACAAAACTATGATAAAACAAAGGAAATCACAAAGGATGAGAAAGACACACTCAAAGATACTATCCTTTTTCACATTACTAACTGCTTCTTCATGTTGATGAATCAAAATATTTTCATAAAATAATGAAACTCAACAATTTTACCGTATGGGAGCATGCAATTAAAGAGCATATGGATTCTTGTATAAAAATGATACCTAGATACCATGAAGCTATAAGAGAAAAAAGGAGGATAGATAAGTATAACAAAAGTAAGGAATATAAGGTCATACTAGTAGTAAAAGAGTTTCAATATAAGGAATGAATTAATTTCAACGAAAATTTCTCTCTAGCAATTAATTTGACTACAATTAGATTGTTGCTGAGCATTAAAGTGGCAAAAAATTTACACCTTGAATAGTTAGATGTCAAGTTAGCTTTTCTTCCTAGCAAACTAGAGGAAAACATCTAAATGATGCAACTTGAAGTCTTTCAAATTTCTAATAAAGAAAACCATATCTACAAACTGAACAAGAGTTTATATAAAGCACGATCTTTAATAATGATACCAGAAAATTTAATGGGTTCATGGATCAAATTGATTTCATCAAAAATAAAGTTGATCATTGTTGTTACAAAGGGTGTTGGCAAGGACAATATTCTATTGTTTCCTTATGTTGATGGCATGTTATCTATAGGAGCAAATATCAAATAGAACAATAAATTGAAACAAGAATTATCAAAGCAATTTGACATAAAAACTAGAGAGGAAAAAAATATTTTTGGTAGGAGAATTATAATGGCAAATGGTAAGTACATTCATGTTGTCCCAATCTCATTAAATTGAATAAGCGTTCAGCAATTTCAAAATGTCTAGGTTTATTGATGCTCCCTCTAGCAACTCATTATGAGGTTTCAAAGCAACAATTACATGAAATTAGTGAGATGGCACACATGATCAAAGTCGCTCATTCTTCAATAATTGGCTTGTATTAAGCAATGGTGTGTGCAGCAAATCAAATATAGTTGAAAAATTGTGAGAAAAATGCATGTCAAATCCTATAAAAGTACTTTGAGGTAGCCAAGTGGTTTCACGCTACTTGAAAAGCATAATTAATACCTCCTTGATATTTGGTAAAGGTGGCTTGAGACTGCAGGGATATATTGATACTAATATGGGTGAAGATTTGGATACTTGATGCAGTACAACATGATATGCCAATACCTTAGGAGGCACTGCTATGAATTGATTATCTCGCTTGCAAAAAATAGTTGCTTGCCCAACTACAAAGGTTGAGTACATGGAGATCATTAATGTAATCAAAGAATAGGTCTAGTTCAATAAATTTTTGTAAGGATCGTGAATGGAACATGATGAAAGTGCTCTATTTTATGACAATCAAAGTGCAACTTACCTTGCTAAGAACGTATCATTTCATTCCCAGAAAAAAAAAAAAAAAAAAAAAAGATCTAAAGTATCACTTTATTCAAGGCCTATTAGAAAAGGGTGTTTGGTTAATAAACAAAATCAAAGGATCTAAGATGTCAACTAACATCCTTATTGAAGCAGCTATCACTGAAATTGTGCTTTGTAAAGCCTCAATTAGCCTCCATGGCTGATTAAGCTGAGGTGACGTACTGAGTTGATCCATTAAAACAGCCTATAAAAAATTTAATCTCCAAGTTGAAGGAAATTGAGATGTGGAGATTAAAATCCTCAAGTATTTAGATTTCAAAGAAAAAAAAAATCATTTAAAAATTGGATAAGATCAAATTAAAAGTTAAAATAATCAAGTAAGAGTACTCTCATCCATCTTGTTATCATATCTACCCCTCTTTGCATCAATAAAATCCCAAGGAAATCCTTAGTTGGACAAGCAAACCAATAAAAGCATGTTATGAGCCACATATTTTCTTGAATTCTAGCAATGTCGATGTGTGTTAGAAGCAAGCTTAAGGCTTTCAAGCCTTCACTTATGTAACAAAAGGAACTATCAACAAAGGGAAGATTGGACTTTATTAGTACAAAGATCATTGGTGACAATGGTGAAGGTTATCACTGGTAGTATATTTTGAGCCAGCTTTTTATATGTAGTGGGAGAAATTTTCATGGGTGAAGAAAATAATACAAAAGAAAAAGTAAGAAAGAAAATATTAGATGCACATTTTGCAAGTTTTTTAATGCAGTAAAACACTTACCACTTCTTGCATTGGTACACGGAGGCCACCATTCATCAAACAACATTAATCCATGTCTCCTATTATCTATCTTTATGTTATAATTCATTTCTGATTATTGAGCTTTGTAACTGCTCTTCTGGTTGAATCCACAACCACCACCATTGTTACAGTTCACTTTGATTTTATTTTAATTTTTAACCCTTCTTTCATCTTCGGGCTTGTTGTGTGATAGAAAAGTACCCCTCAAAATTAAGGGAAAATTCTATAAGATGGTAGTGAGGCCTGCAATGCTTTATGGTGCTGAATGTTGGCCATTAAAAGAGAAGCATAATATTAAGTTAAGTGTGGCAGAGATGAGGATGCTCAGGTGGATGAGTGGCTTTACCCTTAGAGATAGGATACAAAATGAGCATATACGTGAAAATGTTGGAGTAGCTCCAGTAGAAGATAAGATTAGAGCGAGTCGCCTTAGATGGTTTGGTCACATAAAACGGCAGCCTTCCAATGATCTGGTTAGGAGAGTAGAGGTATTAGATTTGACTTATGTTAAGAAAGGTAGAGGCAGACCTAAAAAGACCTAGTTAGAAAATATTAGGAATGACCTTTCTTTATTAGATTTAAACGAGAATTTGACCTTTAATAGGACACAATGGAGAAAAAGGATTCATGTAGCTGACCCCACGTAGTGGGATAAAGGCTTGATGTTGTTGTTGTTGTTGTAATGGAAAGTTGCATTACTTTTTGAGGATTCAAACGATTGAACATTTAGTCACTAATAAAGAAAACAAATTGGACAACACAAGATTATTTAAAATTGCACAATTTCACTCTCTTGAGGCCTACCTCAAGTTGAGGTGCATGCAAAGCACCATGAGGCTTATATCTCACAGTAGGAGAAATAGGTGTATACCTTAATTGTTTAAGACATGCCTTGAGGCATATGTAATTAGTCACATGCCTTTATTTCATCATTTGCATGCAAGTTTTAGAGGTTGATGAGGACCCCTAGGTTATTAATAATGTGCCATCAGATGACGAATAGTTCGTGGAATATGAAAATGAAGTTTTATCATGCAAGAGGAATATCTCAATGTTTTTTTATTATTATTAATGATGAAATAAGAATAACAAAAGTTGACAAAAATGTAATAGAAAATATTAGCATAAATTTTATATAATAGAGACTATAAAGATAAAAATATTAATGTTTCAATAATATTTTTATTAGGTTTTATCAACCAGGGAAAAAGAATATGATTGAGATTGAAGATGATTAACAAAAATTGAGATAATGTTGATACAAATAAGGACGAGTGAGGTGAGAAAATTATCAAATACAATGTTGATTCTAATGAAGATTTTGTAAGTGATAGAAGTGTAAGAGGCTTCTGAATCTAGAGTCCTTATTCATAATTATTTAATTTTTTTAACACATTTAATTATTTATTTTAGACTTGTTACTTATGTTTACTTATTTATTTAAGACTTTTTGCTTATCAATGAGTTATTGTATGACTTTTCATGATGTTATTTTAACAGTTTTGGATTACTCTCAAATGATTTATTGGGGAGAAATCAAACTCAATTTTTTATTGTATTACTTAGTGTTAAGTTCTAAGGAGTACTCTCAAATTCATTACTAAACTTATTTTAATTAATTAATAGTTTAATTGTAAGCTTATACCTTAAAACATCATGCCTCGTGAAAAAAAAAAAATACTTCATAATTATGCCATTTATTAACAATGTTGCATGCCATTTTCCTTTTCATTTATAATTCAATGCATAGGTGCTACCTACGAGGTTTCTTCTTGCAAAACTTGGACCTATTTCTTGAACGGTTTTAGGATAATAATTGTGCATCCCTAAAGAGCAAGATTTACTCATTCCTATTTTATTTAAGGAGTTATGATATTAGTTGGGCATCCCCAAGGAGTGATATTTTAGTATAATCTATTTCACATCATGAGTAAGTTATTATTTTTATATCGTTATTAAGTTTATATAATTAAGAATTCAGAAATTTCATATGTTGAATGTGTGAAATAGTTCAATAGTTTTAAGTTTGTGTATAAATTTCACCACTGTTCCATTTAGTTGTTTAATCATATTGATAAACAAATGTTTATTAAGGAGAGGTTACTTATTGGGAATTAATCGAAAATTGAAAACTAGCTGGTCCTGCCAAGAGACAGCCGAAAGTTTTTGAAAGCCCTATGGGGCAAGATCTCTCACAACGTTTTATATTCTAACTACAACCAACAACCTACCCATCAAAACTAATAAACTGGAAAAAATAACTAAATTTAAGAAGCCCGTGCATTACTAACCATGATAATTGATACAAAAGGCCAACAGCTGAGGATTGAGACAGAAAAGACCAAGCCATTTAGAACATACCACAACTCCACTGGCCCTTTGACTGGAAATAGGATTCTTCACGGTTGACACAAGAAGGGTGATATACCTTTGGGCAAACCCTATAAAGAAAAGAAGAAAAAGAACCTTCAACAAGTATATACTTAAGTAAAAAACTAACAAAGTGTAACTCAAAGATATAGAGAATGTAAAATCACCTCCTATCACAAACTACCAAGTCACCACCATCAAAGCATATAAAGCAAACTTCCTCTTCCACCTTTTTTCGAGAAGGAAGTCTAGTCCCCTGCACCTTAGAGGATGTACGGCCCCTCTTTCGCCTCCTTCCACCCCTTCTTCTCACATCAATTTCCACAGAAAACTCATTTTCAGAAATAACGTCTCTATCTCCAGAACCAGCAGCCTCAACATTCTCTCCAGCAGACTCAACCGCCTCTTCAGTAACCTCATCCCAAGCAGCCTCAACCTGATCTCCAGCCATAGCAATCTCGCATCGAGCAACCTCATCACAGCCAACCACATGGGCAGGATCAGGATCAACCTCTTCCTTCACGGACGAATCATCCGGCTCAGCTCCACCTTGTGCAGGCTCTGGGGAAGCGTCCCTGTCTTCCTGCGGCAGTGGGGTAGCGGGCTCAGGGACAGAAGCTTCCTGTCCCTCCAAAAGTACTTGACAATTATGTTCAGCACACAAGAACGATATCTCAGAAGCCAGAACTTCATCTTCCTCCGCATGAACGACTACGTGGGGCTCTGTTACAGCCTGTTCGGCCTCAAATATAGGAACTTGCTCGTATTCCGAGGACAAAGGTGAATGCGATTTAGCTCTCGACGTGGCGGGCCAAAACACATTAACTTCCTCGCCTTCGGCAGGTTTCGGTGAACGGAATCGTACGTCGACTACCTCCTCTGGAGGAGAAATGCAGGCGGCATCCTCAAATTCTGGCTCTGCAGGATCAGACGGATGCATCTCATCCACCGATTGCACTGTCGCCGGAGGACTATGTGCATTTGTAACATTCTCCACTGCCAGATCTTCCATGAATTGGAGGAAAACGAAACAGACATGGGCAGGAAGCAGTTTCGTAAAAACCCTAGACTTCTTTGATTACTATAGGACAGCGGGGTTAGTAAGTGCATATATATAGATAATATTTTCTATTTACTTTTTAACATTTAAAAAAGTGATATATTATTTTTATTATATATATCTTTTAATTTCAGCTTCACATATTATCTCTTAATAAAAAATATAATTAATTTATAACATAATAAAATTATCATATTTCATGACCATCATGCATCTTGAAACCTTCAACAATCCTCTTGTTCCATCTCTTTCAACATCATTAGCAAAGCCTAGTGTTATTTTTTCTTTTAAATGTTATAATGCATCCAATGTCCTTTCTAATGTTGGCACTCATTTTGTTGTTTCTTAACACAAAAAACAAATGTATTCAAACAATGGTTTAGAATTCTGTTTGAAAAAGAACTTTGAAACAATTCAACAAATATTATACACATTAAGGGTATAAATGAGTCAAGTAGTGGTCTTATTGAGCTCAGCTCATCAGTTAGAAAGTCAGCTCGAACTCAAGCTCGTCGCACAGCAAACGAGCTCGAGCTGGCTCATGAGCCACGGGCGGAATTTTTAAATCTTTGACTGAATTTTAAAGAAAGATGCAATTTTAGCATTTATTATTAAAATTTTAAAATATAATTAAATTTAATAAATAAAATAAAATTATTTAAAAAATATTAATAATTATTCGAGTCATCACGCGAGGTCGATTAAGACGAGCCTTATCAAGTTTGAACTCAAGCTCGACTCATGAGCTTGATAAGCTCAGCTCGCGAGCCCATAAATGAGCCAAGCTCGAGCCGACTCACAAGCTGCCTCTGTTGAATCTTGAATAGGTTGTTAAACCTAAGCTTATGTCTCAATGCTAACCAAAAGGGGGGTGAATTGGTAATTTTAAAAATTATCTTGAATTTTAAAATTTGAAACCAGTTAATGATTTGTAGCAAGTTTATTAAAGTTATTTGAGAGTAAATTTTTCAACCACAAAATTAAAATTATAGTAAGTAGCGAAAATTTAAACGACACAAAGATTTATAGTGATTCGGTCAAACACGACCTACATCCACTCCCTAAAGACTTCTTCTTCAGGTATTACACTATTACCAAAAGTGACTCTCCTTTTTCCCCAACAGCAAGACGGAGAAGCCTTTACAAAAACTATCTTCCAAGGCGGAGAAGCCTTTATAAAAACTATCTTCCACCAATCCCCGGTGCGGTAGAAAACTATCATCCTTTCACACCCTCTAAGTGTAGGCAGAGAACCTTCATCCTTTTACGCCCTCCAAGTGTAGGCAGATTACCTTCGTTCTTTCACACCCTCTAAGTGTAGGCAGAGTACCTTCGACTGTTCACACTCTCCAAGTGTTGGCAGAGAACCGTCGGCTGTTCACACTCTCCAAGTGTTGGCAGAGAACTAGATCTACTTCAAAGATCTTCTCACGAGCAATCTAGAAAGACAAGAGGATTAGTGAAAAACACAAATCACTCAAATATCCTTACCTTTGAATAATCTTGGGAACTCTTCATACTCCACTAGTAAGAAATCTCTCTCAAACACTCTCTCATACCCTTTCTTTCAATTGCCATTGAAAAATCACGAAAGCAAAGATTTTTTAATGGACCTTTTATATAAAAGATATGAAAAACTATCCAAAAAACTAAAGTTTTTAATTTTAAGCGTACACAATTATATTTTGTACGTACAAACAGTTCAAATACTATTGCGTACGAACCTGTTGTGGATCGATACGAAATCATTTCGTACTCGATCATCATTTGATATGAACCAAGTTTGTCCAAGATGAACATTATGAAAATTTTTAAATTTCATCTGTACGAAACGTCAGGATGAAATGAGCGAGAACGGACTCGAGACATTCGTCCTTATATGAAACTGGGATCGTCCCATATGAACCATACTTAGAAAAAAATTATTTATCATGTGAGAACAGAACCGAGATGTTCGTCCATATACGAAACTTGGATCGTCCCATATGAACCATACTTAGAAAAAAAAACTTTCATGCGAGAACAGGCCTGAGACGTTCATCCTTGTACGAAATTGGGATCATCACGTACAAATCAAACTTAAAAAAAAAATATTCATTTTTATTCGTTCGACTGCTCTTCGGGAAAAATAACTGATCATATAGTCCCGTACGAAGTGATATTGTATAGTACGATAAGTTTAAAAAATATGAATATTAAAATCTCTCCCGGTGTATGTGTGTGTTCAGTTTTCAACAATCCATAGTATAATTTTCCTGAAATTTTAGTACACATAAGAGAAAAATAATTCTTTTAGAATATGTTAGAAAAAATAATAATCAAATCAATAATATTTAGAATCATCAAAAACATACAAGTTGCAAGAATATCAAACATGCAAAACTAAGTAACAACTATCTCAACAATCTTTCCCTTTTTGATGATGACAAAATAATTATTATTTGAATAAAATTGAAAATCCTAAATTTCTTCTTAACTCCCCCTAAATGAACAAGCATGTGAATATAAGGAAATTTATATTAAGAACAAATCAATTTTTTTAAAGTTTTCATAAACTCATAAAACACTTCAAACAGAAAAAATAAAACAACTCTAATGAACGCTAAAACGCAAAAATCAAATTCAAACAAATAATATTTCTCCCCCGTTTTGACAACAATAAAAAGGAAGAAAAATAATAAAAGAAATGTAAGACGTCATATGAGAAACCTTTGATAATTGATCTTGAAAGAGATTGAATTATAATTGCAATAACAAGATTAATGTTCATTAGAAAAAAATAAAGATTCATAACATTTAAATTAAAATATAACATAGATAATATAAATATTTTAAGTCATGAAACAATATAGACAAATTGATAAGAATAATTATTGCAAAAGTGACGAAATGAAGATTAATTTAAGTTAATTTCTAATACAAAATATACTTGAACATTAGATTGATTTGAAATTGAATATTAAAAGTTAGATGAAAGAACATTATCAATACACTTATTTGACGACATTGAGCATCTTTTCAAAAATTTGTGGCACATTTTATGCATCTTTTTATATTTAGGCTAATTTTACATCTCTTTTTAATTTGCAAACCACTGCGCATTCTTTCAATTTTTGTATATTTATATATTTCTTTAATTTTTAATTAATCTTTTCAAATCAATAATTTAAAAAGTCAAACTTCTCTTAGTACAAAAATAATTATAATGAAAAGAGAAATAAAAAATAATAAGATATCAAAATAATAATAATAATAATAATATTAAAATTATGTATGCCTAAAAAAACATGAGATTGATAGCCTTAACTTGATTGAGTTATAAATTAACTTATATTTTTAAAAAATTAGATTTCATAATAAAATTATTTTTTGTATTACAGTTCATATTATAACACTTTTTCAATCAATTAAGTCATGATTATCATATATGCAAATTAACATTTAAAATAAAGAATAAAAACAACTAAGCAAAACAAGATATTTTTTATTGATATCAATATGAAGATCTAATATAATAAAGCATATCATATATCAATATCATCTATCTTAAAATAAGATAACATAACAACATCAAAGATTTAAAGTAAGACAAGTACAAAAAATATTAAACAAACACAAATACATAAACTACATAAATCATCACATTGCTGAAACTTGTTAAATATAAATTAGGTTGTTAGACCTAAGCTTATATCCCAGCGGCTAACTAAGAGGGGGGGGGTGAATTGGTTATTAAAAAAAAAATTCAACCACAAATTAACACTAGAGCAATATAGTAAAAAGAAAGCGGAAAATAAAAAGACACAAGATTTATAGTGGTTCGGCCAAACTCGACCTATATCCACTCCCCGGAGGCACCCTCCGAGTATTGCACTAATACCACTAGTGTCTCTCATTTTACCCTCACAGCAAGACGGAGAAGCCTTCACAAAAACTCTCTTACACCACTATCTGGTGCGGTAGAGAACCGTCGGCTGTTCACACTTTTTAAATGTAGGCAGAGAACCCTTCATCCTTTCACACTCTCTAAGTATGGGCACAGAACCCTTCATCCTTTAACGCTCTCCAAGTGTGGGTAGAGAACCCTTCGTCCTTTCACACTCTCCAAGTATGAGCAGAGAACCCTTCATCCTTTCACACTCTTCAAGTGTCGGCAGAGAACCGGATCTCCTTGAAAGATCTTCTCAAGAGAAATCTAGAAAGACAAGAGAAAATAGTGAAGTAATCACAAATGTCAAATAAAGATTCTTACCTTTGAGTACCAAGTGAATCCTTCATGCTACAGTAACAAAAAATCTTTTTCAAACACGCTCTTACACTCTCTCCTTCAATCTCTCTTTAGTTTTCACGAAGACCAGTAGAAAAAAAGATTTCAAGATGGTCTTATTTGGACCTTTTGTATGAAAGTCATGAAAAACCGTCCAATAAATTGCAAAATTTCAATAATGAACGTACTCGACATCCCGTATGATCAAAATTCGTACGTACAAATAGTGTAAAACTATTGCGTATGAGCCTAATGTGCATTGGTACAAATGATTTCATACCCAATCATCATCCCTTACGAACATAGTTCGTCCGGTACGATCAGTATGAAATATGAGTCCAGAGAACATCGTCCTGGGACGAATGTATAAGTTCGTCTAGACGAACAGTATAAAGCATGAGCCCAGAGGACATCATCCTGGGACGAACGTATAAGTTAGTCTAGATGAATAGTATGAAGTATGAGTCCAGAGGACATCATCCTAGAACGAATGTATAAGTTCGTCTGGACGAATAATGCACAGTGAGAAATCAGAGAACATCGTCTAGGGATGAATGGTACACTTCGTATGGATGAACAGTTTAAAGTGAGAAATCAGAGGACATCGTCCAGGGACGAATGGTACACTTCATCTGGATGAACAATTTAAAGTGAGAAATCAGAGGTCATCGTCCAGGGATGAATGGTACACTTAATATAAATGAATAGTTTAAAGTGAGAAATTAGAGGACATCATCCAGGGACGAACTTG